TAATGCCGGATGGAAAAATTATACTACGATGTAATGGAAATGAATATGGCACGCGGGCCAAACCAAATCTTGCCTAGGTAGGATGTACGCATACAAGCCACGTCTAACACAGAACGGTCTACTGAACTATGCTTCGACACGAGAAGTATGGGCACATACCAGACCAGGCTCAACCATGGAAAGGCGCAAGCCATAAATGGAAGGTGATGCAATGAATGCATGCGATCTACGATGCAATGGATATGGCACGCGGGCCAAACCAATTCTTGCCTAGGAAAGGCATGTACGCATACGAGCCATGTCTAACACAGAAAAGGTGCCGCAACCCTCAAACCAACATACCAGCGTGGAATAGGCACGTACACATGCAGAACTGTGCTTTAACGTGAAAAGTAAGGGCACATACCAGACCAAGCTCAACATGGAGAAGGTCGCGAGAGCCATAATGGGATGGAGGGTGATGCAATGAATGCATGCAAACTACAATGCAATGGATATGGCATGCGGGCCAAACCAAATCTCGCCTAGGAAAGGCATGTACACAAACAAGCCGCGGCCAACATAGAACGGTCCACTGAACTATGCTTTGACACGAGAAGTATGGGCACATACCAGACCAAGCTCAACATGGAAAGGCGCAAGCCATAGATGGAAGTGATGCAGTGAATGCATGCAAACTACTATGCAATATTTACAAATATGCAATGGAATGGATATTTACAAAATGCATGACAATGCAGTATGATGCGATCTACTGGGGAAAATGCAATGGATGCATGCAAGCTACAATGGAAATGCATGACAATGCACTATGATGCAATGACAATGATTGCAACTTTCCCTATCTTACCAACAGGGCGATATACTAGGTTGGTTCAGTATCCAGGACTGAGGCGCCGACATGCTGCCTCAATCTATGGGGCTTCCATACAGATTTCAAGCCGAGGATACACCCCTGGGTATTTAAACCAGACTTTAGTCTCGGAAAAACACAAGTGTTTGGTGTAAAACCAGACACTAAACAGTCAAGTTCAGAGATCCTGAGGCAAGGCGCGAGCCGAGACCTCTAGGAACTCCAAACGAACACAAACATGGATAATCACCGAGTGTTCAAACGGTGACGTCCAAGTTTTGAGGACGGTCAAAAATGAGGTGTCTACATATACTAATATAGATTATATATGCTTACACTTCTTCCTCTAAGGAGTATAGATTGATATAAATTTTATATGCTCACGCTTTGTTTTTTCCCCTTCTATTGCTTCAGAGTTATACAATTGATGAGAGGAAATTTTAGTTGTTTATGCTCAGGCTCTGTTTTTCCCTTCTTGAATGACATTGGATAGATATACAAGTGTGCCAATAGACAAGCACAACTTTTTTTTTAATATGCTTTATTTGTTATGCCATATAATGAACCAAATATGCCTTGAATACTTATAAATCTTTCCTATGTATTGAAACAAAAATCATCTTAATTAAAATCTTCCAACCATTCATGTTTAATTAAATATATCAGTGGTTCAATCTAGGCAAAGCTCTCCCTTCCCAAGGCTACAACTTCCAATGTTGTTATATATATATATATATCATAAGCCATAAACAAGAACCTTTTCTTTAAACAGAGTTTTTGAGTAACTCTGAGATCTCCACAACTCAGAGGTTTTAAACAGAGTTTTTGGAGCGAATGATTAGGGAAGATAAGAGATAAGAAAAGAGAGATGGGAGAAACTGAATTAGTAAATTTTCCCTAGTTTTAGTTGAAAACAGAGTAGATAGGAGTTGAGGGGAAAATATATTTATTTTGTTGTTCCTTGAGTATTGTTTGTATCTAAATTAAATTGAATTCCCTCCAAATATGTGTTCAATGACACGTGGGAATAATATATAATAACTTTCTCAATTATTTTTTTTTCTCTTTTTCATTTCCTTCATTCCAAACAAAGCATAACATTGTTGAGTATTGTTGTTGCAGGAATTTCTGCCTTGAGATGGAACCGTTTTGGAGAAAAGATTCCTTGATAGATAAAAATGAAATTTGCCTGTGTTTAATTCTAGTAACTTGAAGAACCAATTTATGCTGTGAATGCACAACTGTCCAAAGTAAAAGAGAGATTTGTGCTAGGAATACAAGTTACGATCACGAGTTTGTTGGTTTTGATAGTATATGTATTTGTTGGATTATACTATACTTATGGATTTTTATTTTGTTTGATATGTATGGTTAATAGTTAAGTTTTGTATGTGGTTGAAAATTGAATGGTACAAGTTGTGGAGAATATTTTTATTGAATGGTTAAGAATTGAATGAATGAATGAATAGATGAATAATTTTGTATATGCATAGGTTATAGATGGCGCAATAAATATTATAGAATAAATTATAAAAACTAAATGAGACCTTTTGGTGACTAAACAAATGTCACGGGTTGGCTTTTTACTACTAAAACTTTAGTCGCCAATTGTAAAAAAGAAACTTTTGGCTACTAAAATTTTAGTCGCCAATTCTCAAAAAGTAAAATTTTTGGCTACCAAATAATTAGTCGCCAAACATACATGCTCAATTGTCTACTAAATAATTTAGTCGCTAAAAGTAAATATATTTATATGTTTAATTTTTTTAAAAAACAATATATGGCGAGTAAGGTTTTTAGTTGCCAATAGGCCACTTTTGGCTACCAAAAAAATTTTTGTCGCCGATTGTTTCCCCGACAAACTATAGGCGACCAAATGGGAGACCAAATATATTAGTCGGCAAAAGCAATTGGCGACTAAAAACAAGGCTTTTGGCGACTAAAATTTTAGTCGCCAAAAGTGAAATTTCTTGTAGTGATAGTGAAGAGATTATTAATGTGTGGATTGCTAGTGAGGAGGTTAGGTGAAAGTGTCTTTGTTTTGATGATATAGTGTTGAAGATGGTTAGTAATAGGATTGTTAAATTATTTTTATTAAAAAATAATAATTTATATATTAAAAAAATATCTAAAAAAAATATAATAATTTTTTTCTTCAAATCACAAGTTGCAATTGCAAAAAATTAAAAAAAAAAAAAATATTCACTGTTCTGGTCAATCAGCAGAACGTCCGGGAGAATGTCTAGGTGAACGACTCGATAGACCGAATTCGCTCTTAAACTTAAAAAATTAAAATAGTTACAAAATAAAATAAAATATTTAAAATAAAAAATTTAAAAATATCTAAATAAAATTATATATTTAAAATAAAAAATAAAACTTTCTTTGACAATTTTTAATATTTTAAAAAAAATATCCAAAAAATTTAAAATACAACTCAAAATTCAAAAACTCAAAACTCAAAATACAATTCAAAACTCTTTTCAAAACTAAAAATTCTTTTCAAAATTCAAAAATTCTTTTCAAAACTCATAACCAAACAAATTTTTTCTTTTCAAAACTCAACTTATGATTCCTCACTCAAATTACAACTCCACACTCAAATCATAATTTCAAAACTAAACCAAACATAATCGATACAACATTTTCCACATAACCACTTTCTTTCTGAAAATGATAGTTACGTTTTTTAAATAAAGATAAACATTTCTAATGATGTTACATTTCTAAACTTTTTTTTTCATTTTTTTTATTTATTTAAATTTTGAGTTCAACTTTGACAATCAAAAACACTTTTTTTATTCCACAAACATTTTTAACATAAAATTATTATGATTTATGGTGAGATAAAATTATAATTTATTTTACAAAATTTTAGGATGTTATTATCAATTTAGGAAGTAAGATAAAAGTTAATTTTTGAGTTTTTTAAAAAAATATGTAAAAAAAAAAAGAAGAAGAAAGGTGATGTGACCTAAAAAAAAGTTAAAAGTCAAAAAGTAATTTAAGAATAATATTAGGAATCATGAAAAAATATTATGAAATGCTTCATAAAATTTTTTTATCCTTTGATTATTGTGTGATATTTTATTATAGTTGTAATTCAAGAGTGTAGAATCTTTCATGATTATCTTGATAATATTTTTTTAATGATTATTACCATTACTCATATTTTGAACTTCTTTGTCAAAAGAGAGCTTTTTGTACCGATTGGTAAATTGAATAATACAAAATAAAACATTTTGGGGGAGACAAAGCCACTTGGAGTCGGCTGCCACACATTGCTTGAAACCATGCTTTTGGGTTTTACATTGAACTATCTGCTTTCGGCAGAGAGTTGAAGCTTCAACTTTCCGGAACACTGCTGGAAAATCCACTTTTAGTGGTGTTTAAAAAACACCACTAAAAGTATTAAAAACGGCGCTAAATCTTTTTGTGATGTTTAGTATCAAAAGCCGACGACGCGGCCGTCACTATAGCTTTATGGCGTTTGAAAAACATCGTTATAATAATATAGGCAGCCAAATGTCCTACCCTTACTGTACTTTGACATCACCATGACATTTAGCGACGTTTTTTGAAAACACCGTCATAGACATTTATACATTTTCAAAATCTAGCCGTTGGGGTGGGATATAGTGACGTTTTTTCAACGCTGCCATAGCCTTTTTTTTTTTAAAATTGTGCTAATTTTATATGGTTGAACAAAAAAATACCTGTCAAACAATTATTAAGAACTAATAATTGATGTTTATTAAAATAATAAATAAACTAAGCTTGAAAACAAAATTAAAAATAAGAAACAATGCATTGCATACCTAAGAATAGAAACAATTCATGTTCAGACCTTAAATACATCAATTAAAATCAAAATGATCAAGAAGTGTAATTTGCCCAAAAAAATTAAAAAGGAATAGAAAGCACACTAATATGGCTTATAATATTAAAAATACCACTTGTCTTCCAACTATATCCAAAGATGAACCTAAACTATATGCAACAGATGATACATTTGGAACCATACAGTAGACTATAATCCAATTAAACAAGATAAAAAGAATTAGAGGAGGGGGGGGGGAAGTAAAAGAACAAGAACAAATAAAAAAAGCTTAATCATATTCCCTCCAATGGCTTTTTCGCTCTCCTCTCACATAAATTCTACATGTAGCAACTTCATATCCATCATGATGATCATTCGGAGTTAAATAGCTTCTCACAATCAAACAGAGTTGGGTTTCAAATTATTCTGTCTCGTCTTCTTCCAAATCACCGTTCGATACCCTATTGTTTCCACCGGGTACTGATCCGACTTCAAGTGGACTTCGAATATCCTTTGAAGGCATAGGAGATGGTTTTATGAGTGTCAAAGTATTATCATCCTTGTCAAACTCTTCACTTGCTTCTCCCGAGTAAGTATAGCTGCCACATGTGAAAATATTCAATGTGGAGACAAGAAAATAATTGACAATTAATTTTTATAACATAGAATAAGCCCTCTGCGAGGAGTTTGCAGCTAATTTCTATGTTCCACCATAAAATTGATCGACTGTTGGGGAGATTTTTCCTGGACACTCAAGTCTCTATGAGTTATTATGACCTAATGTGACAACAATCATAATACTCACAAATTACGACCTCAAGAATTAGTGATTAGAATAACAATATCATAAATTACAGTCCGATTGTCTACAAAATACCATAACACTCTGTTTGGATTGCGGGTGAGAAAAGAAATTAAACAATTGTGGTCACACATTTAGGTTAGAAAAGAAGAAATTATTGTATTTTCTCACTATTATGTTTGGATGAGTAAGACAACAAAATATGTGAAACATGGATATGGGCGGGATCTCTTTTCCTTCCTTCGTATTTTAATGGGCAATCTTGGTATTATGGAAATACAGTCAATCAGTTTGCTTATCACCAAATCACTCAAGTTTTAGTGAGAAATGAAACCCCTATAAAATAAGTTCTCCCTCTCCCTCTCTCTCTCTCTCTCTCTCTCTCTCTCTCTCTCTCACACACACACACACACACACATAACTTATAAACCAACACAAGAAAATAGTTTTCTTTCTCTTCATTTCTTATTATTTCTCACCAAATCATCCCATCCAAACATGTTGTAAATGAACGATGATGGTAAAAGAATGGTGAATTATAATTGCCAGATACACATGGACATCGTATGAATGATAATGGTCATTATAGAGTGCCAATTATTTGCTTTGTAAACTCTCTTTTCTTCATTAGTTCCCCTTTGAAGCAAAAGGGAACATATGCGCTAAAGATATCATAATCAAAAGCAGTGCACACAAACATATATGCATCATATAACTAGAAGCAAGGGTTTGTACCGCATTGAATTCTGAGATGGTGCCCAGAGAGCACAGATGACACAGAGCAGAGAGAGAGATAGGTGTCATTTCAGAATGCAGCGCAACATAAAAGGAAAGTATTTTCCCCTCTCTCTGTAGACAGTGAGGCCAAATGAAGCCCAAGCTTACTGCTATAAATTCCAAGGCACAAACAGAAAATATGCACAAAATTTAGTCATTGGGCCCTAGTAGTGTTGAATGGGATACAAAGCACGAAATACAAAGAACACACATCACACCTTGACCTGCAAGTAAAATTTATTAAAATTCCTCACTATTTTCAATTTTCCAAGAGCTAATGTCCATTACATTGACATTGGCACTATAAAACAGCTGATTCATTATCGTTGCCCCGATTACTGCCTAATCCAGAAATAACTAGAGCAAATCATTGTTTTATTTCATTTGAGATCAAATTAGAAATCAGCTTACTACAGAGCGCATGCCAAGGTTCAAACTCATCTATCATCGACACAAATAACAAAATAAATAAATAGGAAATGTGGTTATCACTAGCACTGTATACAGTTGTAGACATGTTTATAAGGATTTATGGAGTTCATAAATATTATATTCGGCATGATAGAATGTGATTGCCAACCAGAGAAATGTGGTGTACAAAACAGCTACATAAGGTAATTCACTACAAAGGTTAGAGTTTTTTTTTTTTGATAAGTACTACGGAGGTTAGAGTTACAACCACCAATCAACAAGAAGATTTATTCCTATCCCAGTAACAATGAATAAGAAAAATTGTCAACTACAGATTCTAGAACTATAATAGGAGTATGGACATAAATAAAGATATATCAACTACAGATTCTAGAACTTAAAAATAACATAATAATAAATTAAAAACTCCAAGTTATCATTACATGAAAAATAGTTAAAAAGCAATGCAAAAGTAGTAGCAGCAACATAAAATAATATACATTTAATAGTAGGATTGTTCTTGCTGCAGTTGATTGTGGTGGCGATCAAATAAATAAACAGAAGTACAAAAGGCACATAGATATCTAGAAACATCAAACAAACTTACATTTGCCAGTCGGAAGGGACAAAACTTAGTCTTCGCCCTTCTTCCATACTTGAGCAAATATGCCCTTTCTTGAAAGCAGTAATGGGCTGTTGTAAAGATCAGCCAAAAACCTAAATTAAACAAGTTCAACACTTTAGTAGACTGAACTACTAGCAATCTACATTCAAGGTAAAGTCACAGTAATAGGTTAAAGATAAAAGAAAGTAGAAAAATTTTATTCAGATGATGGGGACAAATTTGTAGTTACAAAGGCCGCAGATGCAGGAGGAACTTGAAGCTATATTGTATATCCTGTAAAATCTTCATGGTTACTCATGCAGGTGATAGAGCAAATATCCATAGGATTTTAACATCAACCTCCGAGTAACATTATTCTATAAGAGGCTTAAGTTGTATAGTAGCTCACCTATCTGATCATAACCCAAGATAAGATCTGACCACGTAGTGAATAAATATCTTCTCAACCATGCTGAGGAGGGTGTACATTGAATTGTTTTGAAATTTGAGATTAAAAAAAAAAAAAAAATCCTTCTACCTTCACTCACTTTTCCCTCCTCATATCAATTCACAAATGATAGTAGAATCAGAAACAAAAACACAATCAAACGCAATCTATTTCACTAATTCATTAAACATTTTACAAAACATGTGCATTCCAAAACCAAATGTATAAGCATACAACAATCACTTAAGCATTAAAGTAATGCTAAAATCAATACACATTATGCTTGTCATCACTTAAGCATTAAAGTAATGCTAAAAATACGCCACCAAAACACATATTTCCTGTAGTGAAAAGGGTGATTTAGATATTGTTTTTTTGTAAAACAAGATACAAGAGAAGCAGAAATGAACAACAGTGAATTTGTAACCTTTGTTTATTTTATGTTATCTAGTTTTAAATGTCAAAACCAACTTTCATAAGATAATATATCTTTTCTCAAATAATTTGTAAGAACCATTAACAAAACTAGAATCCTGATCATTGCAAGTAATATTCTTACTTCAACAAATGCTAAAATTAAATTTTTAGAGAGACAACAAAGATCTCATTATATATAAGACAACATTATAATGAACTTGACCCATCCCAAACTCCTAAACTAATTATTAAATATCTTATCTCAAATCATCTAAGACCATCTCCAACGACTGCTGGAAATCAAGGTTTTAAATCATTTGAACAACATTAAGGAGTCACCAAAATAGGATGATGAGCCAAAATAGGAATCTGAGTGCACCAAAATTGGAATCTAGACATTTGAGCCAACTTGATATTCATATTCCCATTCACAATAAAAACATTCACACACAAATCCTTTTCCTACCATATCAACCTAGTTCACCAAAATAGGATGCCCCTCCATCTTTGTCTCCAATGCACTTTTTCCACTTATCTCTGTTCCCTTAACTTAAAAACATGTATACAATTGGGGAGAGAGAGAGAGAGAGAGAGAAGTTGATACCAGTAATCATAAACAATAGAAAACAATTATCCATAAACTGTTAATCCTCAACAAAAGACTAATTCTTAACAGGTAATTATAATAGTGAAATGGAAATATAAGCTACAAAGACTAATTCTCAACAAAAGAAAATTTCATAAAGAAAACAATCATCAATCCATATTGATAAAGAAAACACCTATTACTGTTTAATTAGTCAAGCTGTGTAATCCATCAAGTTTTCCATAGAAAAACAAAATGGATGCATGTGTGAACTGTGATTATTATCCCATATCCATATCCGTATCCAATTCAATTCATATTTAATATGAGAGTTTTGCTTCTTTAGAATTTATGTCCTCTGTTACTAATGAAAAACTCCAATTAAACTACAACGCAAATGCCGAGACTTGGGCCTACTTTTCCAGCACTTGAAAGACAATACCTGCATCAAACAAAGGTCAAAATCCATGTAAGTAATTCTGATAGATTTCTCCAGCACACAGAAAATACACATCTTACAAAGTCAAGGTCAAATTGTACCTCAAGATCATGGTGCCAAGCTTGGTATGTCAAGTTTGAGGTGGAGCATCCCATCATACTCTGCCACTCCATTTTCTCACCCTTGTTTTCAATAAGTTATCATAGATTTAGTTGCATTATTAACAAATAAGGTTTCAGAGCACAATCACTAATCAATTCAAGACATCAAATTTCATACAATCACCAGGAAGCCTTAAATCAAAAACCCTAAATTAATTCTCATAGCAGATACACAAACACATATGCATATATAAATAAAGTCATTAATAAACAATTCGATAAATGAAAAACCAAATTTCAAAACCATTCTCACCTGACATCACTGCCACTTTTAACCAGCTGTGCCGCCATCGCCACTGCCGCCGCCGGAGAACTGTCCTTTCCCTTCCAAATGAACCTGGACCAAAGTCTCCGACCAACCAAAAATGCCGTGAAGGCGAGCTAGAACCTCCGAGCCCCAAACCCCGGTGGCGCGGTCTAGGCGAACCGGAGCTTGGAGCAGAGACCGAGATAGAGCAGACCGGTCCACCCAGGGCGCCAGAACCAGCCGATAACAAGGCCGATCATGATAGCGAGCCAAATCGGGACTGAGGAGAGCAAAACGTCGAGGAATGTCTCGGTGAGGCCTAGGCAGTGTAGAAAATAGATCAAATCAAAAAAGCTCTGCTCCATTATCGATCGGTGCCTATACAGATACAGGTATGTACATGAGAGAATCGATAAATATACATATATATATATATATATATATACACAAAGTGGAAGAGATAAGGAGATGAGGTGCTAACCCATGGAAGCTTGCATAGATGGTGGTGGCGGTGGAGCTTTGAAATCGAGAGAGAGAGAGAGAGAGAGAGAGAGAGAGAGAGAGAGAGAAATCAAAATCGCTCTGAGATGAAATCAAAGATGAATCTCCGAGAGAGAGATCTAGAGAGAGAATCGAAATCGGGGTGGCAGTGCAGACCGATCTGAATCGAAATCACGGTGGCAGTGCAGATCGAGCTGAAATCGGTGAATCTGTGAGATTTGAATCTGTGAATCGGTGAATCTCGCTACCTCGCCGGTGTAGATGGTAGTGGAGGTGGGGCTTCCAAATCGGTGAATCTGTGACATTCAAAATAAGGGTTTAGAGAGGATTGAGAGAGAGGCGATGTGAGGATAAGGGTTTAGAGAGGATTGAGAGAGAGAGGTGACGTGAGGATTCAATGTCTGTCTGAAGAGCGGAGGGTTTACAAAGGCCTTTATTCTCAGATTCAAAATAGCGCGTGTGACATACCGCATTTGGAGGCGTTTTTAAACGCTTTGATCATAAAACAGTGTCGTTTTAATTAAATAACTATGCAATGTTTTTAAAATGTCGTTAAATATTAATAAAAATGACGTTTAATAAAACACCGTTAAAAAAAGTCGCAAAAACCCTTATTTCTTGTAGTGGAAGTTGGTGAACAAAAGTTGGTGTATATATAGTGACACAAAAGTTGGTGGATAATTTGTCCCAAAAAAAAAATGGTAGAATAAGATGATTGAGTTACATAAATATATATATATTGAATGGGAATAAGCTCGGGTTATAGAAATAAAATAAAATAAAAATAATGACCCAAGAGAGACATGCAGGCGGATTGAAGAAAAAAAGAACAAAAAGGTTGAAATATTAAAAAGTGTTGTGGGTTTGAAAATGGTAGGACATTTCTTGGTGCTTGGGCCTTCAACTTGGATGGATAGAAAAAACAAATGACGCGTGAGAGAGAGAGAATGAGATGAGTGCGATTAAAAAAAAAAAGATGTAAAGGATTGTCACGCCCTCAAAATAAACCCATAATAACCATAACATTAACATGCATTTATAAAAGAAACTGAATCATTTGAGTTATTCATCAGAGTATTCTTATTGAAAAGCATCACATGTAACATCCTGCAACATCAAAATAAATGCCCTAAGGGCTTACATCTTTCCAAGCTAACACTTGGACACAAAAAGGATGAGTACTAACTCATTTACAAGTTAAGCCCTAGG